TTTTTAAACCAAAAACCACGATCAAAATGTGACGTTAATCTTCAAATTTGCCAAATTATTTTTAGATTTTACTTAATAATGGTAATGAAATTCAAGAATCTATTTCATTAATGGACTACAAGAATATATGTCCGATGATTACTATATATTTTCAAGCTTATTATATGGGCATAAATAATAGATACAGGACTTTGAAAATGAGTCTGCGGCAATTTTTCCGTAAAATGGTTGTGGGAGATGGGGTACTGTGAATTAAGCAAAAGAGTTTTAGTAAATCCGTTTCATTAATGGTCAACACCAAGGATTGACCTATCTTTCGCAGTTATTAAATAATCTCTGGGTGTTGCTTAAGATAGTAATTCATGCTTCCAAAATCTTAGAAATTCGCACGAAAATGTAAAATGGCTCTTAAGTTATACGCTTGGAATTTGGCAAGCAGGTATCTTAGTAAACTTAAAGCTTAGTTACAACAGGATATTGCAAAATTCCCNAATCGTAATCATTTGACAGTTCATAACGTACGATAAAGTCAGTTATACAAAGCGTTTGACAGAATAATCGTACGTTATGAACTGTCAAATTATAACGAATGCTTTACACAATTCCACCTCTGGTCTTAAATTCAGTTGTAAATAAATAAAAAAATGCATTTTAATATATCGTTGCGTTAGTGATCTGATTACAAAAACTGTTGCTTTGGGTTCTGGAAGTTCTGGAAGCCCGAACGTACTTGTCAGAACGCGTTTTTCAGCGTGCCTGCTGTATCTTTTTGATAAATAGTAGGTACTGGATTAACGATTAACGGACTTAGGATACTTTAACGGAAGTTAACGAGTCCGTTAACAATTTTTAAAGTTAACTTAAAAGTTAATCCGTTAATAGAAATGTTAACTTCGTTAATTAACGATTAACGGATTAACGAGTTAATGCCCAGCTATGTAAATAATGATGTTGACAAAAATATTCGGTCTATTACTTTAAGTAGCGACTGTAAACAACATTACTTAGGTAGGTACCTACTACAGATATTAAGTAGATACTTGGTAAAGTTACTAACAACGTTTTATCAATTTATTTATTTATTAGGACAACCAACAATATTATTTACAACGTATTAATCTAAGTGCTGCCTTAATTTTTAATAATGAAAACTACTTACTTAATGATGTCAGTGCGGTACTTAATTATTCATGATCAATTAGATATTCTGCCTAGTGCTTAATTCCGACCTTTAAAATTTGGGGAGAAGGCTTCTAGGAAAATTATATCTTAACAGTGAAGTTCGTTAGTAATCAAAAATTACAGTTGGACAACAACAATTCCAGTAATTATCTGCTTTAATTACCCGGTCTGACTGACACGAGTGCCATCCATAATTCACTGGGGGTTCCCAAATCACTGCACGAAACTGACAATCATACAGAAATTTACACATACATCTTTCATGCGACTAAATGGTTTTCGGTCTTTCCCTTGGGACGATCACCAGTAATTAGGCTTAATGTGTTTCCCATCCCTTATTTCTACTGAATAAAGTCTAATTTTCCATGGAATTTCGTTGAATAACCTGTAATTATTGAGGAGTGAACTGTTGTTGATAATTATAGTTCGTGAACTTAGCCCGTGTGCAAGTAAGTTGTGAACGGAGCCCGAAAATAGTCTTGGTAATAAATAGTTAAGTTTGTTCACGGTATTCGGCTTTCGGTAAAATACGTGGACTCGGATTGTACCTAATTAAGTATTACAAAAATACCTACTTAATATTCTTTCAACATTATTGAAAGTGCAAGAACTAAGTACCCCTTTAAAAATAAAACTTCTACTAACGAAGCTATACTCGTACAAGGTGGACCGAAGCTTTATTAGTGAATTAGAAAACTGTTCCTGAGATGAAAGAAATTGAAAGATTTCGTCTAGGAAAATTAATGACTGTTCTACAACTTATAAAACTAAATAAGGTTACCTACTTGTTAAACTAGTTAAGTTGTATTAGGTACATAACTTATTTCTAAACTAAACTTATTTCGCTACTCGACCCAAAAAAGTTTAACCTCTACGTAATTTGAAAATAATGCATGTAAAATATGAAAAGCGTGCTTAAATCATCTTTGGCACGGTCAGTGATTAGGTACTATTATTTTTTGTAGATCTATCGCTATGTTATGTCACGCAATTTCACTAAACTGATGGGACGTAAATAACTTACCTTTCTACCTCACAGATAAGTACAAAGCAAGGTTGTCTGGAGCGTGACCGTTCTCCTGAAATGTCGCGTCATTCAACAATAAGATGGAAGGTAGGATCTTGTGACATGTTAACACAATGTTTATTTCGATATGCGACTACATTATGTTTTGAGTGGGAGTGGAGAGGTTATTTATTCAAGACGGGTAAAGGTGACATTTACATATTCAAATAAATAATGGTGTAGTGTGCCTAAGTAGTATAGACTCTTCAGTTCTGAAGTGTAATTGTTATAGATATTGTAACAATTTTTAAATAAAGCTTCGTAATTTATTCAAAGTCAAAATTTCTTTATTTGTTTAGACTAATAAACAGTTCTTACAAATCGTCATTTTGCTCTTAAGGAGCCTCATGTCTCATAATCTTTTTACCCTACCACTATTACACACTACTATTGTTGACTAGACTAGGTAGGTACTTCTTGCAAAGCTTCAAATAAGCTCATGATTAGCATGGACAAAGTAAGTATTAGGCACTTAGCTTCATAAGTTTGCAGATTATAATTAAGTATTTTTGGTTTAGGTAGGTAGGTACTTATGTTTTTTGACGTCGAAGTTTAGTGGTGAACAAGGTAATGCGAAAGATTAGGAGGAAGGGATAGAATAGGTACTAGGAAAATTGATAGAAAAGTTATTTTAAAACCAATCCAACTGTCAGTAGAGTTATTTTATACGAGAAAAAATAGGCAAACCTTCCCTCAAATGGCGCGACAAAGTGGTTTCCATTCCGCCGACGGACACGTGGTCACGCCGCCACCAAACTTTTTTCATTACAAACTTGAATCAGAATCGCCCCCTGGCTATTATGCGCGCGCATTTTGATTGCACTCATTACAATACAGATCGTGTGGAAATAATTGTGTCTTGTTTTGTGTTGCGGCTCTTTTTATCCGACTGCACCAGAAGGAGGGTTATGTTTTTGATATTGAGTGTGGTAGGGACCTAAAAGATCTTGGTATAGGTTCTTATTCGTAGGAGGTAGATGTAGGAGAATAATATTTCTCAGACAAAAAATGTATAGACAGCGTTTTAGTTCCGAAAATATTTCTTTAAAAGGGAATGTTTTTGAATTACCTAGAGAAATAATAATCAAGGACCTATTACCACGAATAGTGTATGTTACTACAAGAAACCTATTAATATTACCTAATTTAGAGCCTCAAGTAAGTATATTTTAGTTAAACAC